TTGCTTCTCAGTGTGGTCAGCCAGCAGTTCCGGATATATGAATTTGGCAAAGCAAAGGGCACCTGATGTGATGTGTCTCAGATATGGAAGAGGGTTCCAGGAGCCCTCTTAGCAGAAAGAGATATGCCAGACAAATGAACTAAGGCATCTCCCATTGATTGAGATGTTTTTCCAGGGTGCAAGCAAAAATCCCTCCTAAATCCATCTCTGAGCTCACTGATCTAGCTAACCAGGGGTACATCCATACTGCAGTTGGAGTTGTAATTTCCAGCTTGAGTAGATGTCCACGCGCTAACTTTGATTGAAATAGTGCACTAAAAATAGTAGCATATCCTGGGCAGTGCCATGAGCTGGCTATGCAATTACATAATTAGGAGGACCTGGAGGGGTTTTTTTTCAGGTAGCTCACCCATACCATCAAAGCTGTGCTGCTGTGTTTAGTGTGCTAACTCGATCAAAGTTAGCTTTCATATGTCTACCCAAGCTGACAATTTTACCTCCAGCTGCAGAATAGACATACCTAAAAAAGAGTTTCTGGGAATCCCAGCACTGCCCAATAGGAGTGACTATTGAAGAAACTGGGAGAACTTCCACTTGCATATGTGAGGGGGAAATACAGAGATACAGATGAACCCTGTTTATCCCTTCCACCCAACCACCTAAATCCTGTAGATACTGAATCCATAGGACCAGTGACTGACAACCATGGTCAGAACTGGATCTATATCCTGGGACAGATGGGTTAGAGCCATGGCTAGAATTCGAGTTAGGCACCGTTGGCACATGCATAGGGGGTGCCAGCGTTCTAGGAGCACTAAATGTTAAGTGAGTTAAGTTTCATTTTCTTATGCAAAACATGAAGATCATCTCTACACAGGGGGACCCTGAAAATGCTATGCCTAGGAGTGTGTAAGGTGCAAATCCAGCTTTGATAAGAGACCAGGAACACATTGTATAACTAAGTGTACATGGAGACACTCATATTATCCTTGGTCTGAATGTTACTGCTTTGTGAGCTAGTTCATTAGCTATTACACTAATGAGACTGTGTCAGGAAAAGGATGCTAAGAAATTAATATATGAATAAACTAAAAAAATGCATGGTTAAAAAGCAACAACTACACCTGAAGTTCTTCTCTCACTACACTGCTTACTTGATGAGTCTCAGTCATGCCTTCTAAAACCTAGCTGATAACACTCTTATCCTGTCTGCACTAGCAGTTAAACCGTTGTCGATATGCTGTTCCAAGGAACAAGTTACTGACAACCACTCTCAGCAGTGGGTATGTCTTCTAGAGTAGACCGGGTTATTCCTAGTAGTTTGGAATCTTTTGGAAAAGAGTCCCAAAAATATATGGATCTCAGATATTCCCTGTTGAAACACAACATGCCAGGCTTTGCTGTGTCCATTTGTGGCATTTAAAATCAGCAATCACTCCCACTTTGATGCATGCCCTCAGGTAGTCCTTGCTGTAGAATGGAGCAGGTGACAAAAACTCTGTACAAAACCTGATCATGACCGCTGAACTAAATACAGTCTTTAGCAATCCATTTTCTACTGGTTTGTGGCCACGCAATAACACCCTCCCAGGCTTGTGTTGGTCTCAAATGAAATCAGTAGCTCTACATTGTGAAGGCTTCAGTTACAGGCATATAAATATCTCCATATCAGAATAGTTTCTGAGCCTGCTGGAGAAATGGCAGTTTGCCAAAGACAGCACACACCACAGCTCTTCCAGATAATAAGACAAACACAGTGAAACTTCCCAGGCTCTAGTTTTTTAGGACTGTGTGTGTTGTATACACAAATTAGACATACAATCATTGTGCCCATGTGCAATTGGTGGGAAATACAAAGGACCAGGCACATTATGCTACATATCCAAGGCACAACACAGCACAAAGCTCACAGTCTAGAGAGTCAAGAGACACGGGCATGACTGCCATGTTATGCTATGCCTCTGCCTTGGCTAGCTTAAGGACTTTTACAGAACTTTTAAATGGGCTGTGATTTTGGCTCCCACCACAGCCCCAAGACCCAGATGCCTACTACATTTTTGTCCATGTAATTCTAAAAACCTAGGCCCTGTAACTATAATACACAACATTTGGGATACTTTGTCTGATTCCTTTAGCTGTGCAGTAGTGATGCTTTTCTAAAAGAACCCCCAGTGCCAAACATACTTGTGAGCAGCCGGATGTCAGTAAGCCATTTTAAGTTCATTTTTTTCCTTCCAGCTCCAAGCTACACCAGTTATATGAAAATGAACCTCTCTATAAACCAGCTCTTGCAAGATACAACAAAAAGGGGGAACGCCACATTGAGTGGACCAATTTCCTTTGTTATCATTGACTTCAGTGGACTTACACTGGTGTAACAAAAGAAATGTGACCCTCTCTGTTAAAAAGCCCGGTGGAATACAATCAGGCTATGCTAACTCATCTGCTGTAAAGAGCCTACCAGCCAAGAGAGTGATTCTCAGACCACTGGAGTCTACCGCAGGGATTGTTAAAATCAAGCTCTTTGAACAGTTACTCAATGAGATGAGTTCAGGCGACATTAATATTTCTGCTGTCGTAACAACTTAGTAGTGTTCTGAGAGATCATCTCTGCACTGAAGTGCCAAAACACTGAAATAAAGAAAAGGTTCGTATCACTGCTCTAGCTTTCGGCAGCCGTAAGTCTGAGGCAGGCTATGCTGTTGCTTGTGACAGAAACAGTAGCTCTTTTTCAAGGCCCAAATGCTGTGGGCTGCCACTTCAGTGCCAGATGTGATCTCTCAGAGCCCTAATTATTGTTACTGCAACAGAAATATTAGTGTCTTCAAGCCACTTTCCACTTCAGGCTACTCAGACTCAGGGCTAACTCACAGCAAGACAAAAACAAAGCCACCACTTACAGCCTGGCTGAAAAATTCCATCGAAGTGCCGACAGTGGAGAAGGTGAAATAAAGAGCCAAGAAAGCACAGGGAATTATTTTAGCTTGGGGCTGGAGCTGGGGTCAAGATTGGGCTGTAGGACAGTGAATTACTATGTTCAGGAGCCCTTCTGCTCTAGAAGGTAACCGTGGGTCAGTAACAGCACTGTTCGCTGCGTTCCATCCAGTGAGTCTGTGCAATCCAGCTAAGGCCATGCGACTGCTCAGGTGTCCCTGAGGCATTATTTGGTGAACCCTTCTGTTGATGATGCACCTGAAGGGAGACAATCCAGCTCACTGTCCTTAGCTCTCTTGGCTCTATAATACTTAACAGTAGTAAAACAATGACAGGCCAGTAAAATCAGCAGACCGGGCTGTAAATGCACAGGGAACAATAAGAAAGAGGGTGGGCACATTTTTTTGGATTTAGGGGCCACTTCAAGAATATGGTAAGTCATCAAGGGCTATACTTTTCCATGATATTAATGGAAGCAGCGTGGGGCCTGGGATGGAGGTTGGGGTACAGGAGAGAGTGTGGGGTCTGGGAGTGGGTTTGGGTAGAAGGAAGAGTTTGTGACCTGGGGCAGGAGAGGGTACAGGGTCTGGAAGGGGCTTTTGACCTGGGATGGGGGTGCAGGGGTTTGAGTTGTGACCAGGAGCAGAAACGGGTTGTGACCTCAGTCAAGGGATTGGGGTGCAGGGTCTGGGAGGGGTATGAGTGCAAGAGCGGGGTGGCAGAAGTTTTGGGAGCAGAAGTGCAGTGGCCAAACAGCTGGGGGGAAGAAGGGGCTGGCGCTGACCAGGAGGCACTTACCTAAGAAGTTCCTGGCCAGCAGCCTAGAGGGTCCCTCAGGCAGGATCCCTGCCTGCTGCACCCCCTCACACCGCTCAGAGCTGGGGGCGAGGCAGCATGTGGAGCCTCTTCCCACCTCCCCTCACTCACGATGGCACTCAGAGAATCACAGGCCCCCACAGGCCGCTCTGAGCTGTGTGCAGGGGGCAGAGAGAAAGCCATCCCAGATCTGGTGGCTTTTGGGGCCAAATCCAGCCTGTGGGCCATATTTTGCCCAGCCCTGAATAAGAAGGTGTTTTTACATCGTTGTTCTTTCAGAGTACACTTCCACATAGTAATTTAATGTCCTATGAACCAGAGATCCTGGCCCCTTTGTGCCACTGGCCAGTGTAAAGACTGACTTTGGGCACTTCCTAGCTAGCACAAGTTAGGGTGCTCTGAGGCTGCTCTACTGTTCCCTGGGGGCCAAACCACCTCACAGGGATCTGCGGAGCACAGATGTAGTTCTTGTCACGAGTCCTGTGCTGAGTGCTGCTCTGCTGGACAGGCGTGCCAGGGCCCGCATCTTTATTCTTTGCATGTGACAGTAGGAAATCTGAATATACGACAATATATTGCAAAGGAAGCAAAACCATGAGATGTCAAGATTCCCAGAATTGCTGTGTAGATTCCACATAAAAAGTGCATGTTTACAGCTGCCAGGAAGACAAAAGTTCAAACACTGTTTCTGCCTGAATGTGTTTTAAGCTGCCTGTTTCTAAGGAATGGTGGGGGAGCTTTCCATTTAAAATGATAACCCTGCCTTACGTGTGTATATATTATGTTGGGTTAAAATGAGTTGGTTTGTGGTCTCAGTTCCATTTCACTCACATTTTCCCCCCTTTAGCTATAGTCCCCACACAAAGAGCAAGATTTAGACAGTTGGGTTGAAAGTGATCCCTTTTCAAATGAATGATGAGACATTCATGTCTCAACCTGAAGAGAAGCAGATTCAGCTACACAGTAGCAAGAAAGCTTTCTACCTTAAGCACCATTTGACTTCCCAGCTAAACTGTTGGTTTGCATTTTCTGCTTTATGACTGGAAAAAGTAACATTTAGACAAATATTTGACAGATGGATTGTCCAACAAGTTTGTGTAGCTTACAAAAGTGCCTGTCCAACTACTGTAAAATGGCATTAGTCTTAAAGTCCATTTAGTTCTTAACATTGTGCTGTATGTGTTGTCACCAGACCTCTGATTCTAGACAAGGAATTGTCATATGATGATAGAGAGCAGAGACACACCTACCTTACGCCCCGCCTCATTGTTGTGCAAGTTCATGAGAGTCCTTGCATTTTGCTTAATCTCCCTTGCATCCACAAACACTTTGGCGAATCCTATTCCATATCTGATGTCAGCAGAACAACCTCCCCATTTCCATCCTTCGTCTTTATGGTACTGTCCCTGTTTTTCTTTATCACAGCCACAGTCGCTTAGGTTTCCTTGGGTACAGGCAGCAGTGATTGCATGTGCTACTCCAGCTGCAATGATGGCATATGTGAATGCTGCTTCTCTGCTACCTGAAATTAAAACAGTGCTGTAAGTATATGTGACATCATTTGTCATGGAATTATTTGGGAAAATATGTGCAAGTCAGCATAGTACAAATGCCACGAGGTTATAATTAGAAGTGTTATAAATATGCAGATATAAATGTACTATTCTGCTATTCTAAGTATTGATTTTTGTTGACATTCAGACACTCTGAAAAAATAGAGCTCCATGCCACAGTATATTTAAGTTTAGGTATTATCCAGATAACGATATACAAATATTTCTCAGTTACCATTAGAGCTAGCTGGGAAATTTCCAATTGAAGTTTTTTTTGTTAAAAATATCAATTCATCAATTTGTGGGACATTGATAAAACTCCCAAGTTTGGAAAAATAGAAAAAAGTTTCAAAATTATCAAAATTTCCCATTTGAAAGGAAAAATTTCAAATTTTCATTTGAAATTTCTTCTCATTTAGAATTTTTTATCCATTTAGTTATACAAAAAGAGTAAAAACTCAAAATCAAAACCAAACATTTCAAATTTATCAAAACAAAAAAGGCTGAGTGACCTAATCCAATAGCTTTTTCAAATGGCCAGTTTGTGGATATTTTCAAGATTTCAACTTTTCATTCTGATTCAAAATTAGAACAATTATTTAAATCTCAAATCCCCTTGTTAAACATCTGCCAACTGAGTCCTGTTATGCCCCAAACAACCACTGGTGATAGCTTATGATCAGGATTGGGCCGAGGCGGGCTGTGGCAGCTGGCGCCCCAGGCAGAACGAGTGATCGGAACCCCTGCCTGCACAGCTGTCAATGGAGTAACATCATCATCGGGCGCCCTGGGTGACCCATGATGTCATCATCGGGTACCTCGGGCGCCCCATTGAAGGCGGCGTCCTAGGCAACGGCCAAGTCGGCCTACAGTCATGGGTCACCCCTGCTTATGATTCATAGAACAAGCAAATTTCTGTTGTTCATCAGACTTCATGAGAAACAGGAAGGAAGGAAAAGGAAGAATGAAATGGTTGTAAAGTTTCCTTCCAAGTAAGGAAATCTTACAGGCTCTCCATTCTCAGCTGCATCCATCTCTCTTCTCATACGTGATCTATGTTTTTATGCTTGTCTCTAAGTGGTTCATTCTTTTAATGAAAAATATCTTCTTTCTTACCTCATAGCAAGGAAGCATAATGGATTGAAAAAAATCAACAAAGTCTATTAATAAGGAAACTTCTTTGCCAATTGCCAACATGAACACTCTTTACACTTTTCAGAGGTTATTTACACTGATGGTGCTGTGTGCTATGTTTACAAATGAACTAACAACCAACTTCCCTAAAAGATTTCTTGATTTGTCCTTCGTAAAAGCAACAATTTGTAAAATGTTGAATTGATGGGATATATATGCCCTGCAGGCTCTGTGGGTCTATTATTGTTAGGATTAATGGCTTGTCATGAAAACTTAAAGGAAAAGGAGAAGTTTCCAGGAGCCTCCAGTTCAAGAGCCTGGACTACAACTTCAAAATGCCGAGTGTACATATACCCTGCAGTAAAAAACCCCACAGCACCAAGTGTCAGAGCCCAGATAAATTGACTCCAGGCCAGAGGCTACAGGGCTAAAAAATAGCAGCATCGACTTTCTGGTTAAGACTGGAGCTCAGATTCTAAGACCCTCTCCCTGCACAGGATCTCAGAACCAAGACTCCAGACCACGCATGAACATTTACACTGCAATTTAACCTTATGGCCTGAGTGCCATTCGGCTAACCCAAGCCAGTTAAGGCCATTCCACAGGTCTGCTGTTGCAATATAGACATACCTTTGGTGTAGGATTGACACCTCTCCTGGACCGGATGGACCTAACACCATTGCTACAAAAGGCATCCAGTCCACTCAGCTGGGGAGAGTTGGCAACCTTACCTTGATGAATTGGACTCTCTACAAGATTGCCTCCCTCTCTGCAGTCTGGACCTACAACAGCAATTGTCCATAACAATGGATATTAGGGTAGCCGAAGAAGAGGGAGCTGCAGAAGCCGAGTGGAAGGCACTTACACAGGGGCTGTGTCTACACTGGCAAGTTATTCCAGAAAATCAGCTGCTTTTCCGGAAAAACTTGCCAGCTGTCTACACTGGTCGCTTGAATTTCCGGAAAAGCACTGACGATCTAAAGTAAAATCATCAGTGTTTTTCCGGAAAAACTATGCTGCTCCCGTTCGGGCAAAAGTCTTTTTCCGGAAAACTGTTCCAGAAAAGGGCCAGTGTAGACAGCACAGTAGTGTTTTCCACAAAAAAGCCCCGATCGCGAAAATGACGATTGGGGCTTTTTTGCAGAAAAGCGCGTCTAGATTGGCCACGGACGCTTTTCCGGAAAAAGTGCTTTTCCAAAAAAGCGTCCTGCCAGTCTAGATGCGCTTTTCCGGAAATACTTTTAATGGAAAACCTTTTCCGTTAAAAGCATTTCCGGAAAATCATGCCACTGTAGACGTAGCCGGGGAGTTGGGTATTTGGGTTTATGTTCCCAGAGCAGGCTTCCAGAGTCTGCAGCCCAGCCAATTAGGACACCTGAAGCCCATCTGGAGTCAGGTTGGAGGGTGGACTGATTAGAGCACCTGCAGCCACTGAAGGCTATGAGCACACAATAAAAACCTTCCCCCAAGCAAGGCAAAGGGAAGGAGAAAAGGGACTGACAAGAGACAGAGGAGCCCAACCTAAGCCAACCCAGAGACCCAATGCAGCCAGCAGCAACAAGGCCTGTTCCAAGACATCGGGGAGGAGGTACCCAGGAAGAGTTGGGGAAGTGGCCCAGGAAGGGGCTGCTCTTCAGTAGGGTAAGGGCCAAGCCTCACAGCTCACTCGGGGCTATCCCCCGCATAGGGCCCTGGGCCAGAACCCGGAGCAAGTGGGTGGGACCCCCCAACCCTGCTCCTGGCTGGTGGGCTGATAGTAAGGAACAGGGGAGACCCTGTAGACTAATGGCGGGACACCTCCAAAATCTTGGCCTGTCTGATGATGAAAGGGCTCTGATAGCGGGGTACCCTTGCCTTCTTGGCAGTGATAGGGACACCGCGAGCCTCTGAGGCACACGTGAAGCCCCACCAGGAAGCGCAGGACCCATAGAACACTAGTACTGGAAGGGACCTCGAGAGATCATCAAGTCCAGTCCCCTGCCCTCCAGACAGCAGGAGATGCATGCAATTGGAAGGATGTGGCTTGTCGGATCAGTGGACAGACATTTCTTGGTAATCTCTACAAACCCTAGTCTGCAGTAGGTAGTTATTTTGAAATAATTTCCTAGTGTAGACATTCAGATTAGAACAACCATGATATTTATTGCCTTTAGGATGAAATGTAAAACTGTTGCTTTGCCACAGTCTTCCTGTGACACCCACTAGTTTCTAAAAAGAATAATTGAAGAACTGAGACAGGTTTTTTCTTTTATTTTCCTATTTGTCAGAGAAAGGGGGGGAGAGAACTAAGCATGAATATCAAGTGAAGTTAGATGTTTATTGCCTTGATGTAATTGTTATCAGGTACTTACCTGAATATGCTGATGAATGAATTATATATAATACCCAGATGCTCACAGGCTTACAAGTAAGCAAATGTCATGGAATTCTGAAACAAAATACCAGTTTCACTAGAACCAGCTGAGGCACCTTGACTATCCCTCCAAGTTCCATACTGGGCCAGACCAATGGGCCATCTAGCCCTGTATCCTGAATTCCAACAGTGGCCAGGTGCTTCAAAGAGAATGAACAGACAATTATCAAGTGAGCCCATCCCCTGTCCTCCAGTACCAGCATCTAACAGCCAGATGCTTAGAGACACCCAAGCATCCCGGCTAATAGATCCTCTGTGAATGTATCTAATTCTTTTTTAACCCAGTTATAACTTTGACCTTCACAACATCTCCTGGCAAGGAATTCCACAAGTTAACGTTAATGTTGTGTGAAGAAGTACTTCCTTTTGTTAGTTTAAATACTGCACCTATTAATTTAACTGGGTGACCACAATTCTTGTGTTATGTGAAGGGATAAATAACAATTCCTTATTCACTTTCTCAGCATCATTCATGATTTTATAGACCTCTACCATATCCCTACAGATTTGAGGATATCCACTTTATATCCGTGGGTATCCAGCATCTGTGGATATGGATATCTGCAGCTCCTTTTTGTGGCTAGACATATGGATAAAAATTCTGTATCCAGAACCCTGAAAATTCACAGATATCAACTTTAAATCTGCGGATGTGGATTTCCACGGATTATGTGGATGGCAACTTTGTATCTGAGCAGGGCTCTACATAGTCACCCTTGGTCATTTTTCTTCAAGCAGAAAAGTCCTAGTCTCTTGAATCTCTCCTCATATGGAACTTGTTCCTATCCTTAATCATTTTTGTTCCCCTTCTTAGGTTGCGTCTACACTGCAGTGCTATGTCAGGCTACCTCTGGTAACCCAAAATAGCTATTCTGCATCTTTTGAGTGCGCCCATTATTTCAAAATATAACAGGCTCACTCTTCTGACATCCCTATAAACCTCATTCCATGATGAGTAAGGGACATTTGGGAATAGCGATTTATTTTCAAATAAGTTCTGTGTAGACAGCGCCAAATTTTGAAATAAGCTATTTTAAAATAACATCAATAGAATATATGCAATTTACATAGCTCAAATTACGTATCTTATTTCAACCTACCGTACAGTGTAACTACACCTGTAGTATTTTTTCCATTTCTACTATAACCTCTTTGAAATGGGATAAGCAGAATTGCTGGCAACATTCCAAGTGTGGGCATACAATGGGTATATATACTGGCATTACGATATTTACTGTCTTCATAGAATCATAGAATACTAGGACTGGAAGGGACCTCGAGAGGTCATCGAGTCCAGTCCCCCGCCCTCATGGCAGGGCCAAATACCATCTAGACCATCCCTGACGGACACCTATCCAAACTACTCTTAAATATCTCCAGAGATGGAGATTCCGCAACCTCCCTGGGCAATTTATTACAGTG